GCGGACACGTCGCTCCGGCCGCCCCTCGCTGCGCCGCGCCGGGAGGCAGCGGGAATTTTCCAGCCGGAGTCGAGAGCTTTGCCCAAATGTTTGTCTAAAATTCGCCAAAAAAAATGAAGATCGTAACAATCCCGCTGGCGTTCCACCCAAACCTCCCGCCCACAGCCTGGCCTGGGGTTACCAGGAGGCAAAAGCTTTCTCCTGGAGCGGAGCTGCTCCGGGTTGGAAGTGCTGGGGAAAGGATGGGATCGAGCCCACCCTGAGGCACCAACCCCCTGGGAATGAAGAGGAACGTGCCATTCTGTTCCAGAAATCTGGTCATGATTTGGCCCCCTGGCTGAAGCCATCCCAGACTGTTTCCCCATCCCATTTCCTAGAGGAGTAAAGACAAATTTTGCTTAAAAATTCCCCATATTCTCATCCCACTGCTGCCTCTGCTTCCAGGACGGGGTTGGATTTTCCCAGGGACCACAGCAGGAGCTGCAGACAAAGCTGGGAACGAGGAGGGACGAGCCCAGATGGCGACTCCCCCTCCCCAGCATGTCTGAGCCCGGGGGGACCCCAGGCCCCGGCGGATTTTCCCCTTGATCCGCTCACAACAGGCTCGTTTGCAGGAGGCTCTAATTAGGGAGAATTAGTGGGGGCATTTTGCACAGCACTGGTTGCCCTTGGAGCAAACGGGATTTTAGAGGGACGTGGGGAGGTTTGCTCTGGGATTTATCCTTTCTGGAAGAAGCTGTGGGAGATACAGGGATGCTCCAGGGGGATGCCCACTGTACCCACCACATCCCCAGGGATGCTTTGGGGGGATGCCCACTGTACCCCCCCCATACTCCCTCCTGCTCTGGGCCTGTCCCCAGAGAAGGAGCCCCGAGCTCAGCTGCTCATCCCTGTGTGGGCTGGAAATCCCACCTGCCACCTGCTGGAAGCTGCACCTCCACCAAAAATGGGAATATTTAACATTAAAATGTCTTGTCCGGGATTCCCAGAGAGATTATTTTACCTGTGGGGGACAAGCCCCCTCCCAGCCCCTTTTCTGGGGGCCTGAGATCTGCCCCGTGCTTCCCACCCCTCCCAGTGAACTGAGAGACTCCGACACCTCACGTGAATAAAACAAACTTTTAATAATGTACAGCAGAAATCGACAGCCTGGTTTTATATTAAACAAAAGATTTCCTATCTTACACCGTATGTACATTTGCATACTGAAGAGGTAAAGTGGCTAAGTGGCTATTTTCTTACAGTCCTTTGCTAAGAAAAAAATGTACAAAACCAAACAAATCAAAGGGGCAGAGAAGTACCAAGAGTTCTGTCCTGCAGCCGCGTACCGCTGATGGACCCCCCTCCTTGGCCTGCACTGGGCTCCCCTCGGGACTGCCTGGAATGCTGCTTTTTCCCAGAGCTGCTGCAAGGCCTGGAGCCTGGCAGAGATTCCTATGTGCTCCCAGCCAGCTCGGCTGGCACCCCCCGGGCACGGCTTTGCGTGAAAGTGCTGTGTAAATGCTACATGGTCAGCGTTCCCGCCGCGGATCCCGCCTGGTTTTCCCCATCTCTCTCTGTCTCCCAAACCAGGCTTTTCCTTTTCCTGGGATGCTGCTCGCAGGGGTGTCGCCCTTCCCTCGTCCCTCGTGCCTGACCCGGGCCGACCCCGCGCGCCGGGCGCTGTTTGGTTTGGCGCTGAGGCAGGTGCATGTGTGGCTACAGTTGGAGGGGGGGGGAGTCAGTGCAAGTTCTGGAGCCTCCGGAGCGTCCCTGGGAATTGGCCTGCACGGGCACAGGGATGGGAGACCCAAGGGAGAGCCCGCAGTACCTCCCAGTGGGGGACGTCCCTTCCTGCCCAGCCCGTCCTTCCCCAGCTCCCAGGGCATCCCCGGGGCTTGTGCCAGCAGCTGGAGAGTCCTCAGTGCTGGGCAGTGCCCGCCAACCCCTGGGCTTCTAAACGCAGGTTTTCAGGGAAATGGAGACTGGTGGGAACCTCTGGCTGGGACTGGGAGCCGAGATAAACTGGGATGGGACGGGGAGCTGGACCCCGATCCCGCTGCGGGAGCTCCGCGCCGCTCCCAACTCCTCGGGGGGGATGCAAAAAGGGCTCCTAACACGATGCAAAAACCACACTCCTCACTTTACACAAGGTCACAGACAGACGGGGGAGTCAGGGGGACACACGGACAGGGACACAGACAGCAAGAACAGAGGGATTGAAATAAAGATTTAACCCCGGCGGCCGGAGCAGAGATGAAACCTCACCTTAGAGAGCAGGAGCAAGGTCAGAGTAGAAACAGTTCCAGTGTAAATCGAGCTGTGCATTTGGTTTTTTTCCTTTTTTTTTTTTTTTTTGCAGTGATTTCTTTACAAACCAACAGGTCAAGAGGTAATAACTAGAGATTGTTTTTCTTCTCTTAGAAAGAATTAACAATATTCAAAAAAGTTAAAATCCAGACCCTCCCAGAAAATAATAATAATAATATAATAATAATAATAACAACAAC